ATGATTGTGGTCTGTAACTTAGGAGCTCTGTTTTCGTTTTTAAAATCCCATTTTAGAAGTCACTACTAAGCATCATCTACAAATAATAACTACTAAGTTATTATTCAACTTGTGCAGCTTTTGGTAGAAATTATCATTAATAACAGCAATCATCTCAAGACCTCAAGACTAAACCCATACATTTCACACATATCCTCTAGCAGTAGTGCAGGCTTAAGTGGCTGTTGGCACTCCTTTGATCCTTAAGCCAGCACAACTGAAGTCACACATCAAACATGTGATGGAAGTGATGAGCTGAAACCCCCCACCCCATTCCATTTTTTGGTCCATTTGTGGAGGACACCAAGCTGTGTGGTGTGATGGACATGCTGGAGGGAAGGGATGCCATCCGGAGGGACCTGTGCAGGCCTGAGAGGTGGGCCTGTGCAAACCTCATGAGGTTTAACAGGGCCAAGTGCACCTCAGTCAGGGTAATCCTGGACATCAGTACTGGCTGGGCAATGAGGGATTGGAGGGCAGCCCTGTGGAGAGGGACCTGGGAATATTGGTAACTGAGAAGTTTGACAGGAGCTGGCAGTGCATGCTTGCAGCACACGAAGGCAGCCGTCTTGGGCTGCACCAAAAGCTGCTTGGCCAGCAGGGCAAGAGAGGTGATTCTTCTCCCCTGCTCTGCTCCTGTGAGAACCCACCTGGAGCCCTGAGTTCAGCTCTGAGGCCCCAAATGTGAGAAGGACATGGATCTGTTGGAGTGGGTCTAGAGGAGGGCCCCCAAAATGATCAAGAGGCTGGAGCACCTTTCCTACAAGGACAGGCTGAGGGAGTTGGGGTTATTGAGCCTGGAGAAGAGAAAGTTCCGGGGACGCCTTACAGCAGCCTTCCAGTGCCTAAAGGGGACCTACTGGAAAGCTGGAGAGAAAAAAAGAGGGTAGATTTAGATTGGGTGTTAGGAATAAGCTCTTGGCTCAGAAAGGTGGTGAGGTACTGCACAGGCTGCCCAGAGAAGCTGTGCATGCCCCATCCCTAGAGGTGCTCAAGGCCAGGCTGGATGGGGCTTTGGGCAACCTGGTCTGGTGGGAGGTGTCCCTGCCCATGGCAGGGGGTTGGACCTGGGTGATCTTTAAGGACTCTTCCAATCCAAACCATTCTGTGATTAATTCTTCACCTGTTTGGTACCATGACTCTGTGAGGATCCTACCAGTAGTTACTCTGCCATCAGAGATGCAGGGGTGCACAAAGGCAGAAATGAGCAGCAGGGGGAGGAATAGGAAGAAAGGGGAATGTCCTAAGCCCACCCTGCTGCTGAACACAGACCTTATCCCTTACCCAGGGATATCAACAGTCCTACACAGCACTGCAGAAAGTTGAGTATAATGACTTAAACAGTTTGAACTGGCCACTACAGACTCCAGCAATGCTTTACCCAGAATACACATAACCTTATTTATGGACCTACATTTGTTTATTCTTCTATCTAATTTAAACTGAATCGTTTTCTGATTGCTCAGTCCAAGGAATGGCTGGCTCTTCTGTAATGTTGCTGCCATTAACTGAAACACAAGCCTTTTATATAATAATTGCAGCATGTTGGTTCATTTACTTTTTGAAAAAATGCTCTTTGCTATTGCATCTGGTGCCTACCATAATTAATATAATTTATTCAATTTATTTTCCAAGCTATATCTGGGAAGTTAAAATTTTCCTCAGTGGTACAATTTACAGTAATATTTTCTCTCTAATAATATGACAAATACAGTTGCAAAGCATTTTTAAACATTCATTATTTTAGCTATCCTATCATTTCTTGTTTCTTTTTATAGTCTATTTAATCGTTAATTTTGCATCTGACATTTCTTGGCTTTTTTCGTGAACAAATATAAAACAAGTTATCACTTTTATTACATATTTGAAGTTTACTATATATTTGAATTGGTTTACAGTTTCATGTAGATGAAAGAATATGAAACACCGGTCCACTGAAAGACATAGCAAGGCTGAGTTTTCACCTGTGTATATACTTTAGTTGCATGTTATTTTTCATTAATCTCATGTGAGTCTGATCAACTAGTATGAAGGTAACAGCAGGTGTTTTTATATTTTATTTGAAGTTTCATGTTATGGTTGCATATTCTGATTGTTTTTACTTGAAATGTTATGTTACCATTTTTGAAAGCCTCCATTCACTTGGTCAATGGAAAGACTTCCAGGTTCTTCTGAGTTTGTTCTGGTTTTGTTAATCCATAGGAATGACTGCTTCATTGTATCAGCAGGAGGAGACAAGGTGTCAGCATTGCAAAACAAGGCTGGTTTTGTTCCATAATTAGCTGTCTCTAACAGATACAGTCAATCACTTGATGGCATGCATGGCAATTGTTTATGAAGCTATCAATTTTTTGTGTGTATTCCTTAATGCAGCTAGCCAATATACTGAGAAAATCAGGTGGTCTGATCTTTTTGGTGCTTAAAAGGAGCACTCTGCAGCAGTTAGGGACCCTCTATTAATTAAATTTGTCCAACTTTATTAATTATACTTTTTTGACAGCTGAAGTTAATGTAATCTGTTGTTGCTGTGATTATTTTCATGATTGTTTATGATAATATGTTGTTGGTCAGTGGCAGAGCTGCATTTTCATGTCTGTGTGAAGGTAATTAAAGCTGTAAGTTCTCTTTAAAGAATATCTGCACTTTAGCTTTGTTGTTTTGGAGTTATTGTTTTCCTTTGATTCTGTTCCACTTCTAGTTTGACCTTAATTTGGCACATTTCATATTCTTTCTGATATTTTCTGGAGGGGGGGAGGGAGTTAGAGTTGAAACTACTTTTGTGGAGATTCCCCTTCAGCACCCATGAGGTTGTGCCAGAGCTGCACTAGTGATGTGTGAAAGACTAGACATAGCATAGTCCAGTGGGAAGCGGACTTAATTAAGTACTATTCTTTAATAGATTTGTAGATTCAGAATAGAATTCAGTATTTTAGGGGAATGGGAGAGACTATTGCATTCTGAGAATGCTATTACATGCCCTTTTGCTTTCACAAAAGCAGTTTGATCTATCAGAAGCTTCTAAATGAGATTCCAAGTTGCAGTAGTCTGGTGGTGTAGCTGGTAATTCAGTCATGTCACATCTGAATTCATATTGGAGAGAGAAAGCAGAGGTGGAAGGAATATTCTTTATCCAGGCTTCATTTTTGGAGTTAAATTGTCAATATGCTGGACACTGGTATTTCTGTACGCTGGTAGAAGTGAAAAGTAAGCATCTTGTCTACATTGGTATGGGAGGATTTAAAGAAACTGTAGTAACAAGGGAAATAAATCTCAACATAAGGATAAGAATGTTGTCTTTCATTTACGTCCTGTATAAAAATAATTTTGGCTAGGCTATATCTAGAAAATTCCTGTTAAAGACCAACAAGACTTTTAATAAAAAGTCTTGCCTTCAAATACAAGCTCTGTGTGAGGCTCCTCTCAGATTGTTAGCACTTCACTCTTTTGCTTTGTTTTTCCTTCAGGCTAAAATTGCCTGTCCTTTTATGTATGCTCCCTGTATAGTATGCCAAAACCTATCTGAGCACTTATGCGCATACCAGACTGGTTTTGCAATAAAATGAGTTCATGCACAATGACTGGTGTTAACAGGAAAAGGTATTTCATATAAAACAGTGTAAAATAAGCATCCCTTTTAGTTGCAAGCTCTCTCTGTGTGTTCTTATATTTCTTTAGTTATGGTTGAAAATCATTGTCATTATTACTTTATATATATATATTTATATAAAATGTGAATGAAACGCAGAGGCAGATAGTCTCTGCCTGCTAGAGCTGACCTGAGTAGCTCAAAGGTCTAGAATCTCCTTGTTACTTTTCTGAAGGTGTAGGTTGATCCTCATATAATACTAAACACCGCAGCACTTTACTCCTTGAATGCAAGTTTTAAATTACTGTCAAGTTATCATATCTCTCGGCAAATAATTCATACATAACTGAGATATTACTGTGTTCTAAAGATTAATACGTTGTTGACCATGGGTTTTTGTTAGCCCAACTTCAGTCAGCTGCCTGACTAAATATCTCCTTCATACAACAAAGCTGAGTGTTGCTTTTTTGGGCCAGGGAGGTGGGAGTGTGGAAGCCAGTATTTCATAGTCAGTATCTTCTTAATTTCGATTTGGATTCATTGCTCCAAGGTACATCTTTTTAGTATTGTCACAAAAATTAGAAAAAAAAAAAAAAAGGCAGCCAGTAATTGCACTGCACAGTTATGATGAGTTATGTATGTGATTTTTTTTTTTTCCTGCTAGCTAAAGTTGAAATATACTTGATTTATTATCAGCTCAATAGTATGTAAATTCTTGCATTAAAGTGAAGATATCTATATAAAATCCATGACAATTAAGAGAATAAGTTTTTAACAAAGGAGCAACTAGAAGTTTCCCTCCCATGGCTGATTGTGGGGCACACATCCAATATAAATATAAAATTGTTTGTTAAGTGAACACATGACTTTTTTTTTTATCTAGTTGTATACATATTTGCAGCACTTGGTGTTCATAATCTACAAATCATTGTGTGGGTTTTATTCTGAATTTCAAAAATGCAACTACTGATTATAGAGTTTCAGTAACTGAAATTGTTTTTCATTGAAGATTGAGTAGTAACTGAACCTGTCTATTTTGCATTCCTATATTTTTATTATTTCTATACCAAAATTTTTATCTCTGTCTACAAACATATTAGATGGCACTTGTTCATCCTCTAGATGAATTAAGGTAGAAGACGAACCTCTGATTTATCTAAAATTAAACTTAAATGGTAAGGGTGGCAGTTGTACATGGTCCCACTGGGCAAGAAATACATGGCTCTAAAAAGGACTTTGTTCTTGCTTGAATGAAAACATTCTGTGATTATTAAAGGTCAACTGCTTTTCTGATGTTTACTATAAATTACATCTTCAACTAGAGTTTTTTTAAGATTTAAAAGATCTTTTGTAAAGATCTTTTTTCTCATTTCAGGTCCATTGGGCCACGGCTTGTGTTGAGAATGACATTAGGAGCAGAAATCACTAGCCAGCTCAAGGCTTCTTCATACATCGCATCAGGCCGAAATCTTCTGAGATGGGACCTCTCACCAGAGCAAATTAGATCAAGAACTGAAGAACTAATCAGGAAGACAAAGCATGTATATGACAGCGTTGGGATGCTTGATATTGGGGAAGTAACACATGAAAATACTGTACGGGCCTTGGCAGATATAGAAGTAGAATATGCAGGTTAGTGCATACTTTCTGCGATTCTCTCAATAGCGCGTTCCATCCGCACATGAAGAAACAATGAGGAAAGATAATTCTGGCTTACAATTCAGATCTCTTCTGTCTTTGTGGAGAATGTGTAGAAGTCTCATCTTTTAAGGGTCCTCTAGTCATAGCAATTTTTCAGGATCTCTCAGCAATGTGTAACATGATCATCTGTGAAATTTGGCTACTTTAATCTGGAGACAAAAACAAGGATTAGAAAAACTATGTTGCTGATCTTTTTGAGGAATCCAGAGATCTGCAGTGGTCATCTGTTTTATTTTTTGCATGTTAAGCTCTGCAGTTGTATTTTATTTTCATACTGAGTACAACCACTAGGGGACAGTGTGCAATAATTTAGAGTACAGTGTCCATGGGATAGGTATTACATTGAAGCTTGATAAGCAGTGCCTTTCTCAAAGGCTGTATAATCTGACTGAAAAAAGCAATTCAAATAGAGCCATGGGAAGATTGATACAGTCTTGGTGGAGAAAAGGTGATGGATCATGTGGTGGCTGCATGACATCCCCAAAGTAGTCTGTATAATAAAATGTCAGGTTCTCTTAAATCCTCTCAAAAAGTCTTGTGCAGCAACAGAACTGCTGAAAACAGGCACCTTGGCTTGGAGCTTAGTCTTCACTTAGCAAAAAAGAGCAGCTTGCAGCACAAACGATTGCACTGTAATATTGGTCCGTGTCTTTCACATCATTTAGAATTACTGTATGGGCATATCAAGTTCATTGACTGAAATCAGTGCTGGCAGAAAGACGGAGTTACCTTTATGCAAACAGCTTCCTGTCAGATTCAGTTTTAATTGTACCAATGTACTTGGTACAATTATTGTATGCCTTTTCACCACATTATAAATTTCTATGCTTCAAATTAAATTAGAAGGCAGATCTGGTTTATACAGAAAATAGTGGCCTTTAGCCTCTAAGTATAGCCATTGAGACTTGCATCTTCCAAAAAGTACTTTTTTTTTCTACACACCATTGCAGAAGTGGGTCATATCTAACTTGTAGTGCCAATCATCGAAGATGTATGCAAAATTACCAGGACTTGTGAAATAGCCCATGGCATATGACAAGGATATATTACCACAGCAAGGATTCCATTAGGAACCTGGATTTTTAAGTCCTGTGTATCCTTCTCACAGGTGCATAAAAAACAGTCTTACTCCAGTAACTGAAACTCATGATCTGAAGAAGCACATATGACAGCAGGCCTTAGATTTTACTTGGAAGCTGCTAAAACTCAGTTCATCATTTTGAACCGCCTTGGCAGAAGGACAGGAGGGGGAAAAAGAGTTTCCACTGGTTAATAAGAAGAGCCATATGCCCATGCTTGCATTCCAAAGGTTTCTAAAGATCTGAGAATATCTCAGGGCTTCATAAACAACATCAGAGTAAATAAAATTAAAAAGCTTTACAGCAAATTGTCCTAGAATATTGTTACTCTAAAGCATGTTTTTTCAAGGCGGTGGGGAATAATTAGTTTTTAATTAAGTTAATTTAGCTAGTCATAACGAGTTATTTTTGTTTAGTGCTTCTATTCATTACAAAGATGCAATATTTGTTTAATAAGTAAGGTTTTACTTAATCTCAGAAAAATATTCTATAAAATGTTGTATTAGCTTATGATATCTAGAAGTTCAGAATACGTAACATCTCTTGTGGTTATCAGATTTTGTCCTTAAACATGTATAAGAATTGGGGATTTACACTATCCTCTCATACCAACATAAAAATAACTTCAGGACACATGGGCATGTTTGGAAGAATCAGAGTACTTCATGTTAAATACTAACATGGAAGCATTTGTGCCAGCTATGAAACAATGTCAGTCTTCACTTACAAATGGTACCTCTTCCAAAAATTACTTATCATATTAGTATACCCTTCAATGGACTTTGTAGAAGTATGAAGGTAAGATAATTAGGCTTTGGTAATAGATGGTTTCTGTCAGATGTTTATTTGCCGTAATGGTACGCAGTTCTGTCCCTTCGTCCATTCATTTTTACGTTATTTGTAATCATTTTATTTGGTTCAAGCCTGATCTGATTGTCAAGTTGCTTTGGGTACTTTTTTTTTTGTGTAACTTCTATAAATATTGTAAGAGAGTGGAAGTTCTCTATCTGTGATGTTTCTAGCCTTCTGTGTAAGTGTTCATTGCCTTTTATTTAAACAGTGGAAAGGAGCATGTTGGATTTTCCCCAGCATGTTTCACCAGACAAAGAGGTACGCTTAGCAAGTACAGAAGCTGACAAAAAACTTTCCAATTTCGATGTGGAGATGAGCATGAGAGAAGATGTATTTCAGAAGATCGTTTATTTGCAGGTAAATCACAGTGATTTCTGCATAACTTGTAGAAATGTAGATAAAATAGATGAAAAACTATTTATCTAAAATAGTTGAAAACCTATTATATAAACAGGGAGTATATATTATATATATATATTATTATATATATATATTTATAATAATATATATATTATTAGTATATATTATAACAGGGAGTGACCTCTGAGGTTATCTCGTTTGATCTGCTAATTATTGGCTATCCCATAGTAGCTTCCTCCTTATGTGTTGCTTAAACCTCGAAGTAAAACTAAGTCAAAAGATACTGTTGAACTAGTTTCTATCCCTTTGAGTTTCTGTTGTTTCCCTTCTAACTGATCATCTCCATGTATGTTGTATTCTTCATTTGTACTGTTTATTATGTAGCATGGTGCTCCAAGGTATTACTTGGATCTTGAAAAGCTAAGCTTAGCTTAGTAATACCTTGGAGCTCTATTTCTTGGAGTCATTGTTTGTGCTTTTTGCAGTGTAGACCATGAACAAAAATAATATTAGCAAGACCTTATTAAAGTGCCTTTCAGTAGCATTGTTGTCTTTTGCTGTGTTTTCTAGGCATATTTTCAAGTGTTTTCCTCTGAGTGTTATTTAAGTGCATATGTAGGTATTTCATAGCCCTATTTTGAAGATCTTCTGATACCTGTTGACAGAGAGTGCCTTAAGTTAAGACTTGGGGTCCCTACCCCCAATCAGTTGCTATTAATTACATAGATGCATGCATGTATGTATGTATGTATTATTTTTTGTGATTTTCTCCCCCTCCCGCCCAGTTTAGGACACATGGATACATTTAGGGATAATACCCGTGTATCCACCTAATTTAAATTTACAGGTATTTCTGACAGTAGCTACTGAAAATGATTGCTATTATTAACCAGCATTGGTTTCTATTAATCTTTTTTATCTTTTTCATTTGATGCTATCCTTCTTCGTTTTCCTTTGCAGCGATATTTTACTTTTATAACAGTTACAATTATCACTTAAATCTCCAATTAATGTTTTTGAGATTTTACTTGGTTTAACTGCAGCATGTGAGCATGTTTAGTGTTCAATTAATGTTCTAGAAATGCGATCTGCACTAAGATAAGGCCATATATCAACTTCATAACAACTGTAAAAGTAGTAATATTTTTGTTGTAGAACAGATGTGAAATTACCAACAGTGCTGGACTGACCAACTCTTACTATTTCCAAATACCAATACAAAGTTCTTGTTAGTTTTTGCTAACTTTCTAACACCCTCTCTCTCCTGTTAGAAACTCTTCTTTGAAAAGTCAGGTTCCTGGAGAGGAGAAAAAAGGGACTTCAACAAACAGAAATGTTTTGCTGAAATCGTGTTATTATTTTAAAGAAGCCAGTAAAAACGTTTTGGCTAAATCAGGCATTTCATCACCTCAGTAAGGATATAATAGTTCTGAATTGAATAGTTCTGAATTCTTTTTGTGAATTCAGTTTCATGATCAGAGGATCATGAAACAGGGGGGCTAGGTTAAAATGCAGTGAGGAGGATGAGGTCCCTCAGATTCCCATGTTATTTATATTATAGTCAATCCACTAACAGGTGACTGAATATGCCAAATCATAGTGATATCCTTATTTTTTTTGTTCCCTTCAACAAGGATCAAACTTTCATAAGTTCTTTTTTCAATCTTTATAATTCATCCTAAGTTCCACTTTATGTAAATAGTGTTGGTGGTGGAAGATGTGTGAGGTTTTTGTGTTTAACTTCAAAAAAAAAAGTGAAAATAATCTAACCTTTTTCTATTCCCCACAAGTAAGGGGAAAGATTTCTGCAAAATTTCTGCAATTTATGTTGTCAGGTATACCCTTTAGAAAACTAATTTTGGCATCCAAAACCTGGAATAACAGTGAATTTGGTAGTGAAACTATCCTTTTAAATTTTCTTACTCCTAACATCTGCACATGTTGGCTAGCAGAGGCATGCTTAAGAATGTTGCCAATCTTCTCCACCCACACACCCTCAGGAAACAGCCTGATGTAAACAGCTGCTGCAGTTTTTGTTCACAATATTCTAAGTTGGTTCTGCTTCTTATTCTGCCTGAAAATTTCTTCATAGAATAGGGTAGAATGCTTGTTCAAAACAAATATGAGATGGCGTATCATTGGTCAAATATGAGATGGCATCATTGGTGATGGCCATTTTAATACTCCTGGAAAACTCCAAAATTTCATGTGTAGCATATTCAAAATTAGCAGAAAAATAGCAAAATTAGAGGTTGTCCATCAAAGAAACATTGGACTTGGAGAGCATCCTGACCACACAGAAGTTCAGAGATGTCTGCAGAGGACACTTGGTTCTTTGGTGCTTGTGAGGGCTTATAGACCTGACAGGTCTTCCTGAATGTGAACTATTCTTGACTTAATCATGTCTGTGTTGGAAATAAACTTCACAAAGGCTATCATTAAAATATTTACGACTGGTGTCTTGTAAAGTGTATGGGAGAGAGAGATGTAGTCACCAAGAGGAGGATGAAGAACACTAATTTAGTTTTGACTTCCTTTTCCCCAACATAATGTATTTCTCTTTCGTAGCTTTAAAAGGAGCCAGTGTTCACTGTCTGTTACTCCCTAAAATTAGTATTTGTGAATTCTTTCTCCCTGCCTTAAAACTCTGTTGGATTTCAGGCCAGGAGATTTTCAGTAGTGTGGCAGTTCCATTTTTCACATATTTCTGATGTTGAGGCTGAGAAATCCCTCACACGGCCTGGATAACTCAGTGAAACTTCTCACAATCCTCTGTCTTTAATCATTACTATAATAAAAGGAGTGTCTTTTACAGAGATTAGACTGCTCCATTTCTTTTTCCTTATCTATTTAATTTCTGAGCCTTCAGCATGGTTAGCACAATATAAATGTTAACGTAGTGAACAGTATCTGCATTTTTCGCTACTACCATGGTGAAATCTTGCTTTCTCTGTCACACTAGTCTTTGCTAAAAACAAAACAAAACAACAAATACCTGGAATTATGGGTTTTCTATTAGAAAAACAATATATGAAAATTCTAATTATTACAAATATAAAATATTTTTCTGCTCAGTATCACAGCATTAATACTTCTAGATGTAGTGGGTTTCTCTCTCTTATTTTTTCTCGTAAAGTAAGAAAGGTAATTTGCAGATCATTAGTTGACACTTGCACACAGTTGTGTAACTCTTTCATAAAATTTGCATGTTTCAACGTCCTTACTTTTCAGAGATGGTAGTCAAGAATTAATTGTAGGTAGGTAAGCTGACAAGAGGGTTGTTAAGACAAGTCAGAACTAATTCCAACATCTTCCTAGTTTAAAGATGATCTTAAATAGAATATGTTCTTTTTAACAAGTAATATAAATTATACCTTGTTAAAATGTTCATTTTTAGATGGTGGAAGATAAAATTATAATGTAAAATAAAATAATACAGTAAAATCACAATTTGCGACAAAAATCACAATTTTCTGAATTACGTAGTTATTCCTTTGTCAGCTTCCAGGAAGACCCTCACATTATTGGTTCATGTTCTGTTACAAGCAGGATGTTGTCTCTTTGCTTGCTTTGCTTCTTGTTGGTTGATTTAGAAAATGGTCATTCAAGAATCTTTATAATGGCATAACCTGACATATAGCTACTGTGTTATTTGTTGCCACCAATTGCTTTGTTCAGAAAGAGGAAGATCCAAAAGCTTGAATTTTGTGCTATTTGATAACCTTCAGTGAGCCCTAAATACATTAAATCTTTTGATTTTTTTAAATCCCTCCAAGTCTTAAAGTTCAATATTACCATAAGGCACCGATTTCTTTTATTTAATGATATATAAGAAAGCTACTTGTACAAAAGAGTTTAAGTGCAGGGCACTAATAACTAAAAGGGCTTGCTATTACGACAGCATCTAAATTTGCTACTTTGGTGAAGTGTACAGAGAACACGCCTCTGGTTCTTGCTTCTGACTGAGATATTTAATAAAAGAAAATTGTTTTAAAACCTTGCTACGTCAGTGTGAGAATACTGTAGGGTAACTTTTTGGAAAATCCTTTACACAAAAAAATCTAGGATGTTGTATTGTTTCTTTGGTGGTGTTCTAGAGAACTCTTTTTAGATCCTTCTAATGCTTAATATGTTTCTCTCACTGTGTTGTAAATTAAATTATCCTATATTGTCATTTCAGCAAACCTGTGATCTTGAAAATGTAAAGCCCGAAACAAAACGGTATCTAGAAAAATCGGTTCAAGTGGGAAAAAGAAACGGACTCCATCTTCCTAAAGAAGTGCAGAATGTAAATATAGTTCTTAGTTTGGAAAGTAACTGGGACAAATTGTTGAAGGGGTAAAATTATGACTGTGTGCTAAGCATATATTTGAACTTTGTGTCGTTGGACCTGCATAATAACCACTCTAATCTTAACTGTTCTTAGTTCCATATCCATTCTTTAAACTTCCATCATTTTAAGTTTTCAAAATTAGTTTGTTAGACTCTGACTGTACGCAGTAGATAGAAGTTGAATGCATCACTACTTTTAAGCTTTTTTTTTTTTTTTTTTTAACTCCGGATGTCTGTCTGGAAGAGAAGATGCAGCTATTTTAATTTCAAATGTCAACCATTGGTGTAAAATGAGTCCAAGAGTTTTGCATTTTGACTAAAAAAATTGAGGTAAATTAGAGGGAACACTAAAAATCTTGACCCCATTAAGGGAGGATTTACTCAAGCATATAAAAGCACTTGTCACTTCTGAAAATGATGGAGTAAAATTGTCAGTGTATGTGATGCTGATGTAATTTTCTTTAAATTCCAAGCTGATGGTATGTAACAATCTAGATTTGTGACTCTTGAATAGACTTCCCTCTTTATTGAAAATAATCATTATTAATTCACATTTTACAGTTAGTGGGAATATTATTTTGTGTATATTTGCATTACTTCAATGGCAACCAATACCTCTGAAGGTATTTTTAAATACCTTATAAGGAGACAGTAGTTGAGCTACATTTAAGTAAAATCTTGACTAATGATACCAATTTTTTTATTTGTTTTGTGTTCTTGATGCTGTTAATTACTATGTTCGTGTGAAGTTACCTGTAAGGGGTAGAGTCATGCTGTAAAATATATTAAAAAATGGTTCAGGTAGGTCAATATCAGCATTTAAAAAAAGGATTTGGAATGCTTTGTCATATCTGTATTCCATTCAAATAAGTGCTTTTCAACAAGTTACATCCATTTTTAGGACTTTGATTCTCAGTGATTTTAGAGGTTTTCTTTACACTTAAAATTTCAAATTAAATAAAATAATTGAATGTTAGCATGTTCTGTTCAGTGAACTTGTTTACAGGCTCAGTCCTCTCAGAGCTGAAAAGAAATCTGAGAGGTTGTTAGAGCAATAGACCCAATCTAGGATTCACTGGCAACAGGATTGCTCAGGACCAAAAAAAAGGTAAAACTGAGCCTGAGGGAGAGTGAACTATGATACTACCTGCAGTGTATTGGCCAACGGCAGTACTCACTTGGCCAATGCTAGTACTCACTGTAGACTAGTAAAGCAATCTAGAAGAAGAAAAAAAAAGAGAGAGAAAAAATCTAGAAGATTTTTTAGTTATCTAGACTAGTTTTCTACTAGTCTACAGTAATCTACAGTATCTTTCTAGATAACTAGAAAAATTAAACTTTGTTCAAATGGAGGGTGGTAATTGTCAATTGATTTTTTTTCCACTAAGTTTAGTTTATACCCAATACAGGAAATAAAGACAATGAAGAAAAAATTGAGTGAGCTGTGTATAGACTTTAACAAGAACCTGAATGAGGAAAACACATACCTGGTATTTTCTAAGGAAGAACTTGGTGAGTACCATGTATGTTCCTTCCACCTCTTCAGCCTTTCAGTTTTAATTGAGTATTTTTTTTTTTAATTTTTTTTTTGGCCCACTGAATGATCAAATGAAATTCTGGTTGTGTTCCAGTCTTTTCTGTTTCTTTTTTAATTCTTCCCCAAAGTAAGCTTAAAATTACTCTTTGCAAATGTTTAAAATTTCTTCATAGACTTGTGCTTTCTGAAGTGTTTTGCCTTGCATAAAGTTAGCATATCGGCCTTATTGTTTTTTCCATAACATTACTCATCACTGCTTCTTTTGTCAGTTCTCCAGAATCAGGAAATCCACTGGGTATTATGGTCATTAAAATTATTTGAAAAAGTTTTCTGTCATGCAAGAAATTAAGCCACTTAAATGATTTAAACTGATCTAGAGGTCATAGAATCACAGAATGGTTTGTGTTGAAAGGGGCCTTTAAGATAACCCAGTCCCACCCTCCTGCCATGGGGCAGGGACACATCCCTCCAGCCCCGGTTGCCCAAAGCCCCATCCAGTCTGGCTTTGAGCACCTCCCTGTGCCAGAACCTCATCACCCTCTGGGTGAAGAAATATCTAATATTCAGTCACATTTTTCATGTGACAGAGGATTTAGGGATTTGGTTTCTGGAGGGCATAGCATAAGATGTTATATTTAATAACACCATTTTTTTTTATTTTTACATTTTAATCTATTTTTGTCTGGTAGCCTTACATTTATTTCTATTTTCTTCACCAATAAAGTGTTTCAAAATGTATTTTGCTCAGCTTAGCAATCATTAGCAAATAATATTATTTGAAAATTGTTAGCAAAAAGAAGTGTTGTATTTCTGATGCAGGCAGAACAAATACAATAACGTAACAGAAAAGGGAGTGGTCTAGTTAATTCTAGTAAACATTGTTTATTAAATTGTATTCTATAGAAGGCCTTCCTGATGACTTTATTAACAGTTTAGAGAAGACTGAGGAAGACAAATATAAAGTTACTTTAAAGTATCCCCACTATTTTCCTGTTATGAAGAAGTGCTGCATTTCAGAAACCAGGAGAAAAATGGAATCTGCCTTTAACACAAGATGCAAAGAGGTATGTCATAGGGACTTTTCTGCAGGGTAATGACAGAGTTGAAAAATGGAGCTGTTTCTTCCCAGAGAAGGCTGAGTGTTGCTTCTGTACTACAAACTATTCTTCAGAATAACTGTGTTTATTTGGGCACTTGTTTTAATTATGAAATGCAAGTGATTAAATATAAAATTAATGCACAGCATCTAGAGAACATCTTTAACTAGATGTTAAAAATCCCTAATTTTTATAAAAGATTCATTTAGTTATCTGAAAAATAGCTGCAAATGTACCTTATAGAAAAAAGAAATAATTTCACAAATAATTCATTTGATACTGATGATACCTGCTCGGCACCTAGATAGGTACAAAAATAATGAAAAGGCTAGAAAGGATAGAAGAAGTGTCATTTAGCAGGCAATTGTACCAACCATTAGAGAATAAAGACAGATTTGTGCTTTTGTACTTGAAATGCTGGGAAATGTGAAGAGCACAAGATAAGATAAAATGGCACCAAGAACTGAACGCTCTAAGTCAGCACAATTAAAGTGATATGCTGTTATAACCGTGGGACAATCTTCAAACCTAGTCAATTATACGTACCCTGAAATTTTTTTTTTCTTTTTTTTTTTTTTTCTGAGAAATCTCGCTTTTCTAGAAATGGAAATTAACACAATTACGTTTTAAGCCTCTCAGAGATTCTCCACCTTATCTAGGTCAGTGCCTGAGGCTTTTGTGTTTCAGATCCTTTTCTCTGACTGCTATTGTCAGAATGGCAGAAGAGGGAAATTTGCAAACAAGGTTTGAAGATAGCACAATGGCTTTGCAGTCTGTCTTAACCACTAACAAGCAATTAAGCATTTTGCCAGACCTGTTTTTGTGTCCCTGTTATCTTTTACGTTTAAATGGTCGATAAAGAAAATAAACTCTTTGCAACAGTCAAAGGTTTGTTACTCTCAGAAGAAATGGTAACTTGTTTGATTAATTGAAACAGATTAATTATAGTAGGGAATGTAATGACTCAGATTGACTAGAAAACTAGACATCTGACTGCTTGCAATTAAGTGCTGTGACTAAAAAAAATTACAAAGATCTAGCTAAATTTATGATGTTCTAGATTTATGTCTCAAAGTGTCTCATTGTAAATGTGTACTGTTCCGTATGGTTACAAATATTTTTTATACAGTCATTCAATAATATAGTTTTATTGGTTTCACTTCATAAACTTGCCTCCTTTCTTTTTTTAGGAGAACACAAAAATTCTTCAGCAATTGCTTCCACTAAGGGCAAAAGTAGCAGAACTGCTTGGTTATAATACACATGCCAACTTTGTCCTGGAGGTAAACACTGCAAAGAGCACAGATAACGTAACAACCTTCTTAGGTTTGTTCTTATTTATAAACAATACTCTTATATTTAGAGTGGCAACATGGCTCCTCAGCCAAGATAATTTAAATACATAATTTGTCATAGTGTCTGTCATGTTTAGGTGGAAAAGGAACTGTCTGTTGCCTCTGTTCTGGCCATAGCTGTACAAATAGAATTGCCCCAAGACAGGGAAGTGTAAAATAAAAATCTGAAAACATCTGCTTTATGACAGCCAGTATAGGCAAACTGTAGTGTCTTTCCCTGCCCCCAAATGCAGTTACTCTATTTTGGAACCAGAATAACATGTGCAGCCTAAGCATATTCTCTCAATTCAAGAGGCTGCATAACATTTGCAGCTTTTCATTACCTTAGGTTAGCTACGTTTTTTTGTGCCTATGTAGGCTTAGTGTCTCTTCCAGTCGACTGATACAACTGCATTAAGTATAATAAAAGAATCAAGTATATGATGATACAGCTTCCATGAGCTGTATAAAAAAATATATATATATCTGCAATGTCTTGATTTCTTTGAAGACAAAAGCCCTTTACTGGAATTCTATTTGAAAACTGAGATATTTTGAAAATTTTAATGTCACAGATATGTATAGTTATCCTGTTGACTTCAGTGGGCCCATTTTGTGCGCAAAGTTAACCTCTACACTTCAGAATTATACAGTTTCACAGAATTATGTGTTCCTTTGTTAATGTGTCTTAATACCAGTTAGTCCTTTTAGTGAAGAGGATTGTATTTATATATATGTATAAATCAGCAGCCCCAAAATTATTTAGTACAGCAATAAAGTATTTGGTGGTATTGGTTTTTTTTTTGTGTGTGTGTGTGTGTGTTTTTGTTTGTTTTGTTTTGTTTTTTTTCTGTGTTTATGCAGCAATAAAAAGGTTTAAATGAACCTCTTCCTTCACCTGTAATTCTGTCACATTTCTCATGTTATTGTGTGAGTTCAGCTCCATATTTATCACTACCAATTAACTGAATATTTGTCAATGAACCTGTGCTTAGTTTTGATTTATAATTGGTAAGATCACTTCTTTTTTTAAGTGCAGTGAAAATATTTTGAACTCTTGCTGATACGTTTTTGTAATTCTAAATTGACATATGTAGTGTTTTTTTTTTAAATTTGTTTTGAATCTGACACACTTCAAAATTTAGTAGTTATTGATGCAACTTTAACTTGTTACAAGATCATGTATATTTCTATTCAAAAAGATTGTGTTTCTGGTAATTCTGATAGAGGGAGAATGTCCATCAAATTAATTGTCATCTTTAATTTAGTTCTTTTGATATATCTTCAGATACAAGCATAACAGTATAATTTGCTATGCTTTGTTCATATATATTCATGTTTTCAATCCATGTTCATAAGTTGATTTTATGGCTAGGAGGAAAAACATTCTGTCTTATGATGCATTCTAAATTTAGCAAAATTTGATCTGCAAACTGTTAGCATTTATCAGTCATGTAAATGCATTTAGAGCTTTAGAGCTTTTCTAGAAATAGGAGAGGCAATACCTAAATTTTACTCTCTATACCAACTCTCTTTACAAACTGTGACCATTAACCTGAATTCTTAAGGAAAAGTGTCTAGTAGTCCAGTAATGCTAAGAATAACATAAATATAGCATGTACTATATGAGAGCTTCAATAAGCTTAATTATTTTATATTAAATATATTGCTTTCATAGTGCTATGACCCTTTCTTGTCCAAGAGAAACTATGTTGGATAAAACTGATATTTGGTAGAAGAGTAGCTAGCTATCAGTTAGGATAGTAATGATCATGATAGATCATGATAGCAGCTAGCTATCATTTAGGCAAGAACTCTTTGGTCTCTTGTTCTTTAATAGGACTTTAGCTAGAATTAGGTCAGAATTCTTTTTGAAAAGTCCTTGAAAAAATAGTGTTTGAATTTTGTTTTACGCTTCAGTAACTAATAGTATTTGTAGTCTTTAGCTGCTTCTGCGGAAACACATCAAGAGAACTGAGATTACATGAGGTAAAATACAAGGTTTCTGGCAAATATGTCAAGTGTTTCTTTCGATTTCTGGTGTCTTTGAATAAGTCTAAAATTTCCCCAAACCCTTCACAGTACTGCTAGGCCTATGCAGATTTGTGTATTATTTATAGCATGCCTGCATTAAAACTCATTAAGACAAGAAAGTAGCTTGCTTGCTGTTTGTTAATCAACAAATAGAAAACTCTATCATGACCTTTTAGGGAATGTGCTTAAAGTTATACTGTATAAACCTGAGTGTGTTTTGCAGGAATATACATGATGGTAAGGAATGCGCAAGTTGATTCAAAGGCAATCTTTTTTTCAGATGATTTGAGTAAAAAGCTAAAGCCATTGGTTGAGAAGGAAAGAGAATTCATTCTAGATTTGAAGAAAAAGGAGTGTAAAGAAAGAAATTTTGATTATGATGGAAGAATCAATGCATGGGATCTTCATTATTATATGAACAAAACAGAAGAGCTGAAGTACTCTATAGATCAAGAGAAGCTGAAAGAATATTTCCCAGTTGAGGCTGTTACAGAAGGCTTACTGAATATTTACCAGAATCTGCTTGGACTTGTATTTGAGCGAGTAGAAAGTGCACATGTTTGGCACGACAGTGTTACTCTTTATACAGTAAAGGACAACTCAACAGGAGAAATGTTAGGGCAGTTCTATTTGGACCTCTACCCCAGGTAATTATCACCTAGTGTTTAATGTATGTGCTTAAAATGGAATTCAACTTAGTGGGTTGCTGATGTAGGTGAAATTAAATGCATTTGGAAGTAAATATTTGTCCCACTGGTAAGGCTATTACTGTGTTCATTAAGTTGTCCTCTGCACTGTTCTGGACTGTTTTCAGATTGTTTACTTTTTTTATTATTATTATTTTTATTACAACTTTATTCATCTTCTGTAGTATTACTGACAAGTCAGTTGTTCATCATTTTTCCTTCATGGACTTTTCTCCTTCCCAACTGTAATATCATGTTTGATTTTTCATTTATGCTGAACTATTACTTCACTCTGTTCAAATCAGTTATACTCCTATCTGCCAAGCATTTAAGTTTTTCCCAGCTCCTCTTTAAACTTTATATGCATATTTTGTAGCCAGTTCTGCCTTCAGACTGCTAAAGAAAGTGTCAAATAGTTCAGGACCAAGAATAGATTCCTGTTGAGCACACCTTGAAATGTACTTCCAGCCTGATCACTGTAGCTCTTCTTTAGCTGTTCACAGCATCATTTCTGTTCATCAGAAATTAGGAGACTACTATAATTGTACAAGATTTATTCTTAGGTATTATTTTTTACTATCTCTGTTTTTCATTATTTTTCAGCAATTTGTAAATGTCATTTTTTAATATAAGTTGATTTAAGACTTCTCTTGGTAAAGAAGGTTAGGTGAGTGAATACAGTAGTAAAAAATTTAAAAATAAAATTAAAAATTTATTTTTAAAAATAGGCATGGCTTTTCTTCACTTGTTTTTCTGTTCTCTCCTTTATGCATATCGTGAATTTCTGAAGACATTTGTTAATAAGACTTTTCTGCCCCCATTAACCACTTGGGTTTATGGCAGAAGTTTCAATATCAGTCTTATTTAAACTGGGATCACACTGAAGATGCAGTAAACTATTATTTTGTCTTCGGTAATGAAGAGAAGTTATTGCTTCGGAGGATGGAACATAGTCCTCTCTGTTAAAGTGTTTGTAACTAGTTTAAAACAAAAGTGGTGTCTAAAGTGTGTATTCTTCCAGCATTTGAGTAAAAATCAGATTATTGTAAGTGCTGCTGGGAATCTTAAGCTAGTGTGATTTAAATACTTATTTTATTTTATTATTTATTATTTAAATACTTATTTTTTCCCCTTTGTGTTCTTAACAGGATCTTAAGCTTAGTTACTCTTTGAAGTCATAAGACAACTTTTATATGATCATCCTAATGAACAGATACAATTTTTTCACGTAAAGCTTTAAAGAGACACCAGGTCATTTTCATTGTTCCTGAATAGGCCTTTCCATTCTGGTGAGCAGACTTGTGATTTCCAGATATTTTCTGATGTATTTTCTTGTGCAGAGAAGGAAAGTATGGACATGCAGCATGCTTTGGTCTGCAACCTGGCTGTCTTCTCTCTGATGGAAGCAGAATGATGTCGGTAGCTGCTCTGGTAACCAACTTCACAAAACCAGCATCAGATCGCCCATCGTTGCTGCGACATGATGAAGTAAAGACTTACTTCCATGAATTTGGTCATGTAATGCATCAGATATGCGCACAGGTCAGTGGTGTTTGTTCCAGTATAAGCCTTCCTTCTTTCTGCACTGTCTACAAGCAAGGTATAAGTTTATTTTGGTGTTTTCTATTTTAGTAAACTATATATGCGGTTTTTGTTATTTTTTGAAAGTGACTTTTTTTTAATTTCCATTTAAAACTACAGCAGTGAATATACCTTTTGAAAAACATTTTTAGAAGAATGTTTACTTTTGCTTATGCAACATGAGGGTACCAGTGACAAGTAAATAGATCCATGCAAAAAGTAAAGCGAGTACTTGATGGTGACTTCTGTTATTAGAGCTGTCAGATGAATTTTTGTTACTTCTATTAGCATGCTAGATATTAGAAAGAAAGAAACAAACAAAAAGCTTGCTGTCCTCAAGAGTGTAAATGATTTGAGAATCCGTGTAGTTATGCCCTTAACTCCAGCACTTTTGCATTTAGTGCTCTTGAAAGCTTCCTTTCAAAATCATAAGCAAGTCTTGCCTGAGCTATTATATTTTCTGCTCCCCCATGTGACAGTCAGCATTCTCACTGTGACCGGAATTAAGTGAAGCTAGTCTGCAGATTCTGGATCCAGATGCAAATAAAGTTGTAAAATACCTGATTTCATTTTCACTTGCATCTGTCAGATTCAATTTTAAATGCTGAATTTTTCGTAGGCCTAATGAAAATGTTATGTTTCAGAGAGAGAGGCAAGTCTCTTGTGTTCATTCACCAATTCACGTCATTACCCACAAAATCCAAAATTTGTGTAGTGTTGCAGTGGTCTTCTTTATAAAGTAGTACCAAATCAAAAAATCAGAGAATACGGTACACATTAAATTTTAAATTTTGGCCTCAATTCCAGAGCCTAGGACTGTAAAATAAAAAACAGATATATAAAAATTGGTATATTAAATCGGGAATTAAACAAATGGTGCTCAAGCAAACTGAGGAACAAGAAGCTATACATATTTTTGCATCATATTGAAAGTAGGAATTTGAAGAAAACATGATCATCCTCACTCAAAGGCAGTTGTTTCCCAGCCCAGAAGTTGAGAAATTAAACTGATTCTTTCTTTTTGACTACCCGGATGATGTTTATAAATGAGACATGTTCAGCACTAGTGCAAGGTTTTGGTAACTAACAAGGAGGTGCCTGGGTGTTGCAGAGCCCCTTCTTGGCAACCCATCTAACCACACAAATACATATGTATTACTCCACTTGCTATGGAATTCCACATAACCCAGGGAGGCCTTTTTTTGTGTGTGTCTGTCGCTGCTGTGCTGCCTTCTGTGTGTGCAGCTACTGTACTTGCTTCTGTTGTATTTTATGTAAATCATTTAATGGACTAGTATAAGCACCTGCAGATGTCTTCTCAGTCCCACATATCAACATCCTGTCCTCTGGGATTTGCATGTACAAAGCAGTATCTTGTTTCATATGGTTGCTTGTTTAAGCATGTTAAAACTTGACTTTTAAAGGGTAAAGGGGGATTTGTCTGAGTGGGAATCTGAGTGTCTCGTAAAGGTCAGCTTTTGGAGGACATTACTCCTTCTGATGTGTTGGGGTCCACTGGAAAGTGAGATATCGGGGGTCTTTTTATGGTGTTAAGGAAAGAACTAATCAAGAACCCGAGTCAAATGTCTTCATATATTTTTTATTACCATGGTACAGTTACATATGGGTAAATGAGGGTATCTGGTGTCAAACAAACTCTTGCACTCCTGCTTTTAATCCATCCACTTCTATCACCATTTGTTTCTGATGGTTTCTAGCTTTTTTTCATAGCTGCTATTCAGCAGATATAGGAAGAAGGGCCATCCTGTTACAACAATGGATTTGAGTAACCAAGAAGTTTAAATGAAGGCAAATGTTTTTCTTCTTCTCTGCTATTCTTCTGAAGACATGAGATGATACACATGTGACATAGCCATCAGTTCAATGTATGCCCTACATTATACATGCCTTTTTTTGGTAGCCCGGCAAGAAAATAAGTTCTAAAGCCACTCCTCTTGTGGGCATCTATTCCCCAGTACACCCCTTGAGAGTGTGGTTGGGAAACTGAGAGTTCCTTCTTTCTTTTAGCACTTGGAGTGTTTTATTAGAACGTTGCTGAGAAGGAGAAATTGGGCTGGCAAGAGGAGATAGAGTTATTAAAAGTCAAATTGAGAGTGAGACAAAGTAACTTCTGTTGGTATTTGAATATCTGTCTTTCAAAAGTGACCATCTTTTTTTAGGAATATTTTGAGTTTAGAACATATTTTTATGAAGATGTTTAACTGCATAAAACCTTTCTTCAAAATTAATATCTGGTGTGTGCTTTCAACTTGAAATGATTGACAACAGTAAAGTGAAATAAAGTAAATTAAAAAGTTCTAATGTGCTTGGCTTTCAGAGTGAAGATTCTTCTCTCAGTAACTGAGTGCCAGATTTGGAGACCTTTCATGACTAAAGATGCGAGGGTTTATTTATTTCTTGCCATGAATTACTGACTCAAAAACTGTGCAATAAGTCAACTATATGCCTTATGAATGAAGACAGTTTTTAGAAAAAAGCTTAAAAGGAAAAGTTGGTCACGTAAAATCTTTGAATGAGTACGTTAGACTATAATACAATAAAAAAAATTTACAAGGGTATAATTGGAGTTTATTTTTTACTCTGAAATAATATAACACAGTTCTATAACAATTTACAAATTATGTCATTGTCATAATACAGCATGAAAACATTTGTACTTCTGTCAAAACCTAAGCAGTGAAATGACTAATACTAAGAAAATTGAAGTACAGAATCTGTAACAGAATGCAGTAAATACTGAATAATCTGTTTTGTTACTCTTTAGTAGTCTTGGATATGAATTTATGCCCTCCTTTCTTTAAATATCTTTGTTAATTATATTATTCCTTCTCCTGTGATTAACACTTCAAGTTCAGTCTCTGAAAGTTTATATTATTCTAGAAACCCTGGTTTCTAATTTTGTTTAATACAATGGCTTTTTCTTTCAGACTGATTTTGCAAGGTTTAGTGGAACTAATGTGGAAACAGACTTTGTAGAAGTACCTTCACAAATGTTTGAGAACTGGGTGTGGGAAAAGGAACCACTACAACAAATGTCAAGGCATTATAAAGATGAGAGCCATGTTGCAGATGCTCTCCTTGAGAAACTTGCTGCCTCTAGACTGGCTAATACAGGTATCTGTCTCCTCTCTTTCACTCAGTGGATGTATAAAAATATATAATTAAAGAAAACAAAACAACTGGTGGGAAATTTAAGACAATATCCTCTGGAAAACATAACAAACCAGTTACTTTTTTTTCTGTGTGTATGCTATCACTGTCAGTGCCAATAAGAATTAAGTGAGCACTTCAAAATGTTCATTGGATTAATAATTTCTGGTTTTATTTGCTTGGGTACAACCATTAATAAAATCTATGATGACACTGTATGCAGGAACAGCAGCAGCTCTGGTTTTCCAGGCTATCCAAAGGACTAAAATACCTGTATGTTTTTGTCCATGTAACTTTTTCTTACCCAGCAAATTCTCTTATTCAATATTGGGTTTCCATTGGTTTTCCATTTTCATTTTCTCAGGGTAGTCACTGTGCATTAGTACAGAAGTATTAGATTTTCTGCATGTACATTTTACATTTCACTTGCACATGATACTTGACTGACATGAAAGTTGCTTGCAAGTATGTTCAACATGTGTAACATATCCCATACAAAAGCACTGTAGCCTTTCATTACTCAAATAGCTTCTGAACGTCTGAATCCAGAACACGTTATTCAGTATCCATCCAGTCCGTGGTCCCCACACTCCCAGTAGGCATGTTACTTTCCCAAAACAAGGTTTTAATTCTCTTCTGTTTCTAAATCTCATACCACCTTACCTCTATCTCTAAATCAAGACCATAATCCAATGTCATTGCCATCATCTCATTGTCATTCTTACCACTCTGTCCCTGTAATCAGGGCTCCCCTGAAATCACAGCCATTTATGGTACAATATATGTCATCAAGGCACACTTCCCTATCCTGAACAGGAAGTGCCCATCTTTGTACAGGCACTGTAGCTGCATGAGAATTTTGTCTGGGAAGAGGTTCATATCTTGTAGCTTCTTCAAAATAGCAGAGCCTAAAGCAGCAGCAGCAGTTCTTGCTACTCTTTGAGGTGTCTTAGTTAATGTCATTAGATATACTTACCATCATCTGTGCAAGCCCTGAATGAAATGGTATACTGAAATTGAAGACAGCTGAGAACACAATTTTAAATATTGAAATTTGCTTTTAAAGTACCTGCTTGAAATAGTTTTTGATCTGTAAGAAAAGTAACACTCGAAATATGGAGCTTATAATGACAATTCCTTTACTAAAAATATCTATATTTTTTTAACTGAAGCATTCAGATGGAAATGTTTTATAGTTAAAATTCTAGTAATTTTGAATGTATGTTGAGATCTTTGAATGAAAGGTGCTAAAGGGACTCCAGCTACTTTGACTTTAGATAATCAAATATTCTTATTCAATTAGGTCTCTTAACCCTCCGTCAAATTGTTTTGAGCAAGGTCGACCAGGCACTCCACACAAAGCCATCTCTTGACCCAGCAGATGAATATGCCAAATACTGTATGGAGATTCTGGGAATTCCTGCAACTCCAGGTATATCAGTATGAAACTTTCGTACAGCATGTCCTAATGCTTTATTTAAACATGCTTTCCTTTTTTCCAATAATGCTTGGCATACAAAACAAAACAAACAAACAAAACCCACCAAACCACCAAGTTGTTGTTTGTAAAAGAAGTTGTTTGTTGATCGTACTTTATGAAGCTGAAATAATTACTTTGAAACTTGGTCTCATCTTAATGATCTCTTCTGAAAGAAGATGAAGGTAAATATAAAGCTATACTTTCTCAGGTTATGTTTTAGGGTGGCATGATGTGAATATCATATTAGATATTCTGATAGACTTGTGTTGGGTGTGCAACTAGATTAAAATAAAACTTACTTTTTAATCACCAGAATATGACAATATTCTGAGGTGTACTCAGACCCCCTATGTGAGAAGTTTCAAATTAGTTGATAAAAATTCCTGATTAATTTCTTCTTAAAGTTGATGCACTTTGTACATCAAAAAAGTGACTGCATTTGATTTAAGTTAATTAATGTGAATCTACTTTTCAAGGCACAAACATGCCAGCTACTTTTGGACATCTGGCTGGTGGTTATGATGGCCAGTACTATGGATATCTGTGGAGTGAAGTGTTTTCCATGGACATCTTTTACAGCTGCTTTAAGGAAGAAGGCATAATGAATCCAAAGGTACGTGGTAAATACTTTCTACTAAAAGACTCTTATTTACTGAAGAGTCTTGTTCTTGTCTAAAGCTACAATTTATTACAATTATGATCCATTGGGATAATGTCTCAAGTACTTCTACTGCACCCGTCAAGTTCAGATCAACAGAAAAAAGTGTTATATAAATAATTGCTTTTGAACATCATTGAAATTTCAGAGAGAACTTTTATTTTAATACAGTTATTATACAGGGTCATATTTTTTTGTGACTTTTAAGACATTGCATTGCATTGATTGACACATACTTTTTTAATGTCAAAAAGAAAAAACATACTTGTTCATTGTAAGTACTGATGCATATTCTGCTATGAAAGCTGTATGATAATAGTGCTCTATTTCCATGAATGGTGCCTCAAGTGTGTGGTATTTTTATACAGCTATTATTTAGAAAATTGAAGTTATGCCACTCTTTCCCAGCACAGCATAACTCACAGGTTTTTTCCATCTTAGTTTTTCTCCCAAGTGACTTTGGAATCATTGATGGGTTTTAGATTTACTGGGCTTTTTTTACTGTTGTGTAATTCTTCAGCCTTTTCTGCCTCTGGCATGAAGGAAGGACAGCTAATAATGTGATTAGTTGTCCTGCCAATTCTGGCAATCTTTTTTATTTTTCAGGCATAGTATTAGACTTGTGACTGAAGATGCTGCGTCTCTGTTATGGCAAAGACCTTCTGGTTTTCCTGCCTCCCTTACCTGTCTTCTGGATTCAGCAGCCAGCTCTAGTTCTTCCCTTCAGTAAATGTATATAAAATGAGAAGTGAAGGAGAGAGTAGAAAGTGCTCATCTTCCCTATTCCTCTCTGGAATTTGCTTTGATTCCTTCCTTTCTAATCACAGCAACCAGAATTTCTAGAAATGTCTCTCCCTCTAGAGGGTGGAGAAAGAAAATAGAATTAGACTGTGAGCTGGACAAAGAGAGAGATCCCAAGAGGAGAGATGGGGTAGAGGCCAGAAAACTCTGGCAGTGATTAGGTGAGTAAGGACTGTGGAAAGAGAGGTTTTATGAAGACGGGAAATAAACTGAAGAGTTTAGGAGGAGAGATGACGAAAGGTGGTCAAGGTTGATTTTGAAGTGCTACGAATTTATAACGTGCATGTGAGAATAAGCACTCCTGCTTATTTGATTGGAAGGGTCTCACTCATAAAAAAAAAAAAAAAAGCATGGCCACACATGTGTGTCTTGCTCCCTCTCTTACATGTGTGCACACACATTTTGCTTGGGTGTTCACATAACTTCAGGAGGATCTGTGGAGATTTCCCCTCCCTCTTCAGAACAATACTATCTTCTCAAATTGGTTCTTTTTTAACTTGTTATTTATACTTTCATTCCATGTAAGTGTGATACAGTTCCACAGGATGGGACAGACAATCTTTTATAAACAAATGCTAGACACCAGTAAGATTTCTGTAGTTATATTTCATTTTATCTAGATTTAGATTAGCTTTTAGAAAGGCAGGAAAGGAAAACAGTTATGGTATTATGACTTGCACTCGCTCTTAGAAATTTGGCTTACCTCTTCCTGTTAGAATAAACCTCTCTTCCTGTTTTGAGCAACAGTTATAGAAACTAGTTTAAGTGACTTTATCAATAACAATTCTTCAACAAACTCTTCTTTAGCATTGTTAATTGTCACACTCCTCAGTTCTTGCACGTTATCTGAAATTACCTCTGGTCTCTCTAGAATTGTGAAATCTGCTTACAGGAGACACAACAGCAAAGAATCATGTTTACTCAAATAACACTTTTACACTAAAAGGAACAATATATTCTATTCTGCTCATGTCCAGAAAACAAACACAAATACCAAAATATTAGTAATGTTCATTGACGTATTATCTTTTTACTTTTTTCCATGTTTATTCTCAGGCAATGCGATTAGCAGTGTAGTTAAGTTATGGAGGTCTGTCAGTTAAAAAGACCTATGCTTTTTACTGTTTTTACAGTAGCAATCAGGAAGCAGTGTAGTCCTGTAATCTCATAGCTTTGACGTGTGGGGGAAGTATATGTGTGTGTATACAGTGACTGAAAGGAAGATTATTTTCTTCAATATTAAGAGTATCTAGGACTTTTACATGAAAAAAAATATTGCTTTCTCATTGATTCTTATGTCTGAGGCCCAAAATGCTCCAGATGCTTTCTTCAAAAGATGACTTCTTGTTAAAAATGTCTTAATTTACTGCTTTCTCAGAAGCTTTTAGATCATTCCTTTTAAAGGAATCTTTTCCTTCTGAAGTAATAATGTTTCTTACTGAAAATGTAAACAGAGTTAAGTTCCCATTACTTTAATATATTTTGATAGGGAAATTCTATGTGCATATATATATATATATATATATGTATTATATTGATGGGCACATAAAATGTTAATATATGCCATGTTATTCCTCAGTGTTATATTTATTTGTCTCTGAAGTATCATCTCTATTCTTGAAACAGAGATTAAAGAAAGAGGAATCATCAGTTAAGAGAGAATGAATGTTGGTTTCTCTTTGCTTGCCTGTCAGTCATGTTACGCCCTTGAAGAATGTCTTCCAGAACTTGGGCAAGTTGTGTCATTTTAACTTCCAGAACAGTGTAAAATCACAAGAAATTGGATTTCTTAGTGAACAGGTTAAATTTCTCCTGTCTTGAGTTCTTCCAGCAGATCTAAGTTATATTTGTGGTATATTCTCTTTTGGTATTAAGAAAAACTGGAAAGAGAAGACATGTTGAGACTTTTACATACACAACACATACAGAAAAATGGCAGTTTACAAGATAAGAAATACTAACATTCTGCTTTACCTTTTATCAGGCTGGAATGAGATACAGAAACCTTATTTTGAAACCTGGAGGATCTTTGGATGGGATGGATATGCTTCAGAATTTCTTGGATCGTAAACCAAGCCAGAGAGCTTTCCTGTTGAGTAAGGGACTATGTGTTCAGTAAAATTGTGGGGACTATGTGTTCAGTAAAATTATGGTTTCTTTGTAATGGCATATACGTATGGAATGAGCTGGAAACGTCAGTGTGTTTCACATCTTAACTATGTACCACTTTAGGCAAATCAGGTTGCTTTTTCATGATTTTTTAAAATGTATAAATAAAAATGTGATTTTTAAATTGCACAGGACTACAAAATTCAACACAACAGGGAAAAAAGTAATTCTGAGATGTGCTGAAGCTGAGAAATTTGGATGGTAATTTTTTTTCTGGAATTAATGTGAGATAACGCTAATCAACATGGGGATTTGATGCCTTGTTTCTCTTTTAATAGATGCACTTAAACTGTCATGTGAATGGATTTCAAAACTGGGGATAAAAAGAACACTACCAGCAATAAAAAAAAAAAAAAAAAGAAAAAAACATTTTATATTCTGTATTATTCTCTTGTATTTATGGCTCACAAATGTTTTTGATGGAGTGGAACTTTATTTGATTTCATCATGGTTTGGGTTCAGTCTAGCTTTCTGACAAAATTCAAGACTGAGAACCTGTGCCAGACAGCTTTACAGCAGACATACTTGTGTAATACTTCTACATTTCATTTTGGTGCATGCTAAATTCTTGTATTATTTATAAATTTATACAGTATAATTTAAAAAAAAAAAAAAGCCAATTATCATCTGAGCTAAATAGAGGATAACCACTCAGAATATGACCTTGTCAGTTCTCCCACTGCTTTTCATTTTTTGTTGATGATCACAAATCAGATCTTTGTTAGGTCGTTGTTTTCCCAGCTATATCATCACAGGCACTAAAAAGTTATATACTATAGCAATTATAATGGTTTTGGTTCGTTTGTGAAAATTTTCGAGATATGTATAAGGAAAGTTGTGTCCCCAGTGGGAATGGTAAAAGTCAATGCCAGATATTCTTATTGGGCCTTTCCAGTCTGGCATGCAGAAGTGCAACAGAACAACTTCACAGATTTGATGGTTTCAGCTATGGGAGTAGGAAAGTAATCAAGGAATTATTTTGAAGTTTTTCTGTGAGATCATGCCAATTCTTACACCACTGAAACAAAGCTGATAGTTCAACTGCACTTTTCTTGTCTTTAGATATAATACCTTACTTTGGTTTTGGTATTGCAACATTTTTTGTGATCAAACTTTAACTTTGGTTACTAGCTAATAGATTTTAGACATTTGATTCAGAGCCGTGAACATGGCTAATATTTTATTTATTTGTTCAAACACAAAGTAAGAAAATATGCCTGGTAAACTCAAAAGATTCCTTCCTCTTTTTTTTTTTTTTTTTTTTCAAAAGAAAACTGAAAGCATTCACTTTAGGTCAAATCTATGTGTTTGAGAAAAACAACAGTTGTTAATGTTCACTTGAAACTTTTTTGTGTTTTTCTTTTGAAGCATTTAAGCTGAGAAAAGCAGAAGATCTTCATTGGTTTCTACTTAATTTTTGTTCCAAGATGGAATATTTGACAGGACTTACTTCTGAACCACAGTAGTTATGGATGTGAGGAAACACAAGTTTTTAGCCAAAACATACTTATTTTGTAGTTTCAACAAAGCACATAATTAAGTCAGTTCTAACTCTCATAATCAGTTGCAGTTCTAGACTCCAGTTCTGCAGTGTCAAGGAAAAGTAATACATGAAAATCACATATATGAGAACCTTTTGAACAGTGTTCAGAACAGCCATAAAAGAAAGCTAAAGAAACTAGTGGGTGCAAGATCATCGTAAAACCTGTAAATTTAGCCTATATGAATTTTCTCTACAGTCTGAATGCATTTGGAAGTATTTTATTTTTAAACAAGTGTTTAAAATTATTGCAAATCCTATTTTTTTTTTTTCCATTCACCATTTAATGATTGTTCCAATGAATTAAATGTAAAAAGTTGTTTAGAGATACTATCCAAACATGGTCTGCAAATCTAAGCAACAGAATTTTTATTAAGATGTAAGACACAGTATTTCTTTTGGAGCTGCCAAACTGACTTCCACATGAGGGAGACCTTTCTCTGCATAAACCAGCAGTCTCACTTCAAGGTAGATAATTGCAAATGCAGTAATTATGAGCAAAAATATGTGGTGATGACATTTAAAAGTTAAATACAGAACAGTACTGATGCTGATTTTGGTAATTTGTCTTGTTTATTTTTCCGTTCTTTAGTGTGTGTGATTAACAATTAGATAGAAACTACGAAGAAAATATCTGCTCTTACATGTATGTGGAAACACGTACATGATTGTACAGATACACAGTAGTGTCAGCCATATACCTGTATATGGAAAAGAAAAACTAAAATTACATTGTGCCCCACAAACATGTGTGCTATGATCTGTACCTGTCCCAAAGAATACGATTTTCTGCCATTTGGTGTTGTAGAAGCCATCTCCAAAGCCCTGCATCAGGTGGTAGTTAGATTATCTTATGGCTAAAACTGCACTCAGGAAAGCAAACACGTAATGTTCTGAAATGTTTCTGGAACACCTTAATGGGGTAAAGTATCAAGCTAGTCTGCTAATTTTTATATTACCTTTTGAGAACCTTGTAAGTCAAATTCAAGTTCACATTGTAAAGACCTGATCTTGGAATGGAAGAAATAACCTGGATAAAGACCTCTTTTCTAGTTATGCATATCTCCATTGTACTCATGATTTTTTTTCTGTATATGAAACAGCATATTCTGACACTATTCCCAGTGTGTGACTTAGAATCCCCAAAGAAAACAGAAAATATGATCTCAATCTTCTGTTTTAGAAACATGAGTTAATCGCTTCAACACTGCACAGAAACAATTACATATCTTCAAGCACACAAGGATATAGGTATCTGGAAAACAAAAACCAACCAACCAACCAAAAAAAAAAAAAGCTACCAGCTTGTTTCAGAATTATTAGTCTCATGCTTTCATTGAATTCAGTTTCAAAATTTGAAAATTTGTTAATTCCAACCCAACTTGAAGTGTTCATTGTAATAACAGAAGTAACTTGAAATGTTAGTCTAAAAAGCAGCTGCATTTTCAAGTTAGTAATGTACCTTTTAGAATTTCATTGTATTTATAATTGTTTCCCTTTGTCATCAATTCAAATTGACTTGGCAACAGAAGCTTCAAATGAAAGTGAAAGGGTCAAAGAGGAGACACAGGAGAGAGTTATGTCAAGCACTAAAGAGGCAATTAGCAGGTAATTGCTTTCCCATGTTGCTTCCTCACTGCAAAAGATAGAGCAGGCTGGCCATGCAACTGGGTTACAAGGTGGCTAGGTGGAGGCCTCACCTGCTGCTGGTCATCTGATATAGACGCAGCATGAAGCCTGGTTTAGGACTGATTGCAAGCCAAGTTGTAAAAGGAATCTGGAGAAAAAGTTTAAATTCTGCTCTCTGACCTACAGCGGCTGTTGGTTATTATGCTGACTTAATAAAGAATACATGGAGGGAGTCTTTGTAGATAGGGAGTATTGACTCTATCACTTGAGCCACTACAGTTGGTTTTCATATCTGGAGAGCTCTGTGTTGCATGCTATTAATCTAACAACATACTCATTTTAATCAGTAATTGAGGTCAGTCAACTGTGGATCTTGCTTGACAAACAATTTTGTTAAGCCCTGTTTTAATGGATAATCAGGCAGTGACTATTTCTGATGGCTGTAGACATGTGGTATGGGAGAAGTAAAATTACTGCAACAAGAAATGAATCACAAAGTCAAGATCTTTGCTTTCACTCTGAAAAATGAAATAATTTCCAAATACCTTTAGAAGTGAGGGAAGGTGGGGGTGGTACGTGGGTTGTGTGGAGACTTCTGGAGGAATTTTCTAGAAGTGTAGACCTGGTTGCATAAGGAGCAGAAAGCAGCTGATAATGTGCTGAGTGGGAGTTAAATGTGTTGGGGTGTTGAGGATTAAATCAATTACTGGGTGGGTTTAGTTAGCACTGGGCAGAGGTGCTATGCTGCACCTCATTCCCACCAACAAGGATGGGCTGATGGGGAATGAAAAACTCAAGGGCAACCCTGGCTGCAGTGACCATGCAGTTTGGGATCCAGAGGGCAGAGAGGAGGGAGGCAGTATTGGGACCAGTGCTGTTTAACATCTTTGTTGGTGATCTGGACTGTGAGATTAAGTGTACCCTCAGTGAGTTTGCTGATGACACCAAGCTGTGTGGTACAATCAACACGCAGGAGGGCAGGGATGCCATCCAGAGAGACATGGACAGGCCGGAGAGGTGGGCCTGTGTGAACCTCATGAGGTTCAACAACACTAAGTGCAAGGTCCTGGCCCTGGTTCAGGGCAATCCTAAGTACAGATACAGGCTGGGCAGAGAACGGAACTGGGTGTTTTTTAAGGTCCCTTCCAAACCAAACGGTTCTGTGATGTGATTCCGCATGTTGAAGGAAAAGGAAGGAGTGCAGTCAGTTGAAGGATGAAGTTGGAGTAGGGTATTCTGACAATAGCTGTGAAAGGGTTAGGGTGACTGTTGGGAAGATTTTATGAAAAGGGCATATAGCTTAATGTACACTGATTTATGAAAGGTTACCAATTGCTTTTTTTTTTTTTTTTTTTTGGTTTAGAAACAAGACATGCTCATATTTGTCTCTGAATTTGTCTTACATTTTTATTTGCATACCAAAGAACATGAAATTACGCATCATCTTGTTGCTTGAGTGCTTGTGCTTCTTCCTGACAGCTGGAGATGATTTTTTGTTTCACCGGTGTTTTCTTCATGAATATACTTTAAATAACAGTTTCCCATGGAGGAAGGAAGAACTGTGATATTATTGGAAGAGTTCAGGTTGCAGGGCCTGTGTTTGAAGTCTTGTATAGCTAATCATTATGAGCCATTGTAAATAATACAGATGATATACAAAACCTGGTACCAAACAGCAGTCAATCTATTTGAGCATAACTAGCATAGATAATGATAAATAAATAAATTAAATTTAATGAATTGGAAGTTAGTGGTTGCCTAGAAACCAATAATCATGACCTAATTTTATTCAGTATTGATTAACAGAGGATAGAATCAGCCAATACTTGCTTGCACTGTACTCCTAATGGATTAAAAAGGCTGAATATATCACTGCTAAGCAGGCTAATGAGTAAAATTATTTGGAAGAAAAATTGTGAATGAGAAGTGGTATGTCTTTAAAATGTAATTAGCCAAAATATTTCACAACTTAGTCAGAACTGTTCTCTTTTTAAGAACCAATCTGTTCACCAGCAAAAACAGCAATTAAAAATAAACAAAACAGAAGTGGGGTCAGGAGTAGGAAACAGCTATAAAATGAGGAATTGTAAAGTGTTAAAAATGTTAAAGAAAACTAAGACCATCAAGAAAAATAACTGTAATGGATTATAGTTAATAAGATGCAGAATATATTATTTCTAATAAATCCCATTTGTGTGTCTGACCTTTAATAGACGGAGATGCTGATACTGCTAATGACCAAATAAAGACAAAAGACTTTTTTTTTTATTTACTGTTTCTCTTCTGCATTTACAAAGAAGCAACATGTTGTAATCATATCATATGAGAACAATGGGGTACTTTCCAGTCCATTATTAAGAGAGAAGGATATTAAGCAACACCTACTCAGAATAAACATCTTCAGATTAGTAGGATTGAGTAACTTGCACTCTACAACCTATGAGAATTGATGGGGGCAGATTTTTTCCCAGGGCTGTTAATCTTGGGATACCAGGCATATGGCATTGTTCTAGAACAGCACTGATGATTTCCAGTGTTCAAAAAAAAGCAAATGGGTGACTATTGGCCACACACCCTGAAATCTGTTTTCAGCAAAACAGTTGGAGAGAATTAATAAAATTCTGTTGCTGAGGAATTAAACCACAAGTGTCATTAACAGAGTGCAAGTGATGTTACAAAAAACAACTTGTTCTCACTACAAGCCTGATGAAGGAGACTGTAGTGAGATTTAGGTAAGGGGTATTTGACTTAGTGCTATATATTTTTGTCTGGAATAACATGATACAGTATCAGTATGTAAAATGGATTAAGAAGTGTCTAACTGTTCTCAGGGAGTAATTCTTGATCAGATTGATTGGGAAGTCCCTACAAAGCACAGATGAAAATCAGAAAAATATAGAGGGAAATAGCATATACATCATCCCTATTCGTACTCTTCTATGGCATCTGCTTTTAGCTACTGCTAGAGATGAGATACTGTATGAGATCAACCTGCTGTTTGGTCCAGAGTGGAAACTGAAGAAAGAGCAGAAAAGAACCACAAAACTTACCTGACAGACAGAGAAAACTTTTTTAAAGAGAAACTTTTAAAAGCTTTATATTTTCAGCTTAGGGAAGAAAAAAAAAAAAAAAGGCAAAAGATTCTGTGAAGACTTAATTATAGTCTGTAGGTATTGTCATTATATGTTAAAAGGTTCTTTAGTCTAGTCGAAGAATGTCAGATGGAAGCTGAGGCCAGTCATTTGAAAGAGAAAATAACAGCATTTTTAACAATGAAGGGGACTAACAGAACAAACTGTTCAGAAAATTGGTGGAGTTATCAGCTTTTGATGTCTTCACATCTAGACAAATAAAAGCTGTTCTAGGAGATACGCTTTCACCAAACACAATGTATTAGACTTCATTCAGAGTAACTGGGAGAAATGGAATGGCTGGTGAAATAAAAATCAGATTGATCTCCTGGGCCTTTTTCTTAAAACTCTACGATTCCATAAATCTTATCCTACTCAAAAAAAGTTTGTTGGATGGATGTTTTCATAGGGCAGAGTTGTAAAAATATGCAATGTAATTCACTGCTGAGGAGTTCTAGCCTTCTAAGCCATTTACAGAAAGCAAAGGCAAATGGACAATGCACTTTTAAATTGAGGGAAAATGTTTCCTTTAAATAAGTAAATGTGAGACTTCACAGCTTTTGTAAGAAAACTGAGTGGATAAGTCATTTCAACATGACAAAGGATAAAACTATACTAAAATTTCTTCTTGAAGACAAGGTTTCACCACCCCAGGAGGTATTCAAAAGATGTGTAGATGTGGTGCTTAGATGTGATTTAGTGGTAAACTTGGCAGTGCTAGGTTAATGGTTGGATTTGATGATGTTAAAGGTACTTTCCAACCTAAATGAAAACGATTCTATGATTCTAAAAAG